GCAAGATCCTTTGTTGTTTGGTTCCATTATCAATGCATCTTTGAAAAACACAACAACCATTTTTATGTGTGGCAACTTCAAGACAATTACTACTGACAGCATTATAAATAAACTATTTAAAGAGAAAATAAACTCCATAGATTAGTATCTGGCAATATATGCTGTTGTATATTTGTTTACTCACTTGATTTTCTTCAGGGGTGAAAAGTCTTAAGCATTTTTGAATAACATGGTTTCCGTTTAAGTCTTGAATTAAAGTTACTACATCAGAATTTAAAGATTGAATAAGAGTACAAATTTGCTGAGTCTTGTAGATATACTTAGCATAGTCCTAACGAATAGATGAATGGATTGTTTGGTTGTTTGATTGTTTAGCATTATAAATAAATAAAACATTAAAACTTACATGTTTATTTTCCGTGACAAGTTCTATTATTTTTTGAACTGCGCGAGTACCATGCACATTTAACGAAATATTGACTAAGTCAGAGGAAACTTTTTTTACAAGTGTAGTACGTTTATTTTCATCACAGTATTCAAAAAGTTTTTGACAGAGATAATTGCCAAATGTATCTAATCATCATCATCATCATCATAATCATTATTATTAGTAAAATAAATAAACCAAAGAAATTATAACGATTTAATATTTACCAGTTATAAGTTCAACAAAATGTTTATAAACTTCATTGAAGATCATATCAATATAACTTTGGTTATTTTCTTCAAGTTTTTTTTGCAAAAAACGACAACCATGTTGATCTTTACATAATGAATAAATCTGACCTGCAAAATTTTCTAAATCAACGCCAGAAAATCGAGTGTTGGCTACATAATAATAATAATAGTAATAACAATAATAATATTTCTCAATGCACATTTAACGAAATATTGACTAAGTCAGAGGAAACTTTTTTTACAAGTGTAGTACGTTTATTTTCATCACAGTATTCAAAAAGTTTTTGACAGAGATAATTGCCAAATGTATCTAATCATCATCATCATCATCATAATCATTATTATTAGTAAAATAAATAAACCAAAGAAATTATAACGATTTAATATTTACCAGTTATAAGTTCAACAAAATGTTTATAAACTTCATTGAAGATCATATCAATATAACTTTGGTTATTTTCTTCAAGTTTTTTTTGCAAAAAACGACAACCATGTTGATCTTTACATAATGAATAAATCTGACCTGCAAAATTTTCTAAATCAACGCCAGAAAATCGAGTGTTGGCTACATATAAATGAACATAGGTATAAATATTAGTTTATGGATTATATAAGATTAAAAAGAGGAAGGAATGCTATAAATAATAATGAAGAATCAATCTTATAAAAAATACACGTGCCTTCATTATGATTAACATTTTTTTTCTTATTTTTAATATTATTTTGCAAAGCTGAGTTGTTATTATTTTTGTTGACATGATTACTTTGATTTAGCGAATTGGATGCAATGGCGTGATTAAATAAATTGGTTACATTAATATGATTTATTGGATGATCAATATTGTTGAACGTGCGATGTTGAGGATATTTTTGAATATAAGGAATAATTTTGTTATTATTATTACAATTGATATGATTGACAGTATTAACAGTAGGTAAAGTTATATCGTTTATATTGGCTGGTGAATTAACAGAAGAATTAATATTATGATGATGATTATATGGACCATATAGATTGCTTGTAGCATTATTATTGCTATTGATACTAGAAGTATTATTTAAAAGCATTGAAGCATTATTGATTGACGGGTGGAATTGATTGTAAGAACATGGTTGTTGCGATAATGAAAAATGAGTAGAATAAGAGGCGTGACCAAGATTTCTACCATTAATTTTATTGATAGAGTTGTATGAGTCAAACTTGTGTAAATATTGGCAATGATCACCTTTTGCGCAATAACCTCTCTGGAAGTGTTTGCAAAGAGGAGATTTATCATTCAAATCTCTTGGATTGATTGAGTTGTTGTTTGACTGGTTCGAATTAGAAGCACCTCCCAAATATTTGTCATTAGCAGAAACAGATCGATTGAAATTGTTTGATGTGCCATTTCCGAGTTGATGATCAAGTATAGTAATATCATTGTTGAATGGATCAAAAGTGACATTTGTGTTTGCAATATTGTTGTACTTGAATGGTTCAAATCTAGAAGTGAGAATCTCGGGAGTGACAATATTATTGATGTTATACGGTTGTGTAACGTTTGATCTGAAATCTTCATTGGTCTCTTCCTCATTTTTGGATGGATCTAAGACGATATTGTTTTTTGTAGTATTATCGCTTTTGAACGGATCAAACGTGGAAGTAAGATTATCCAAAGCTATATGAGAATCAGGACGATAAAATATGATATCGTCAATTATCTTTCTGTGTGTAACATTGGAACTGGGTCTGTTTGAAGAGCCAGGCGCAGCCCACATATCTGAAGAGCTTGAAATGTTGTTATTAGTATTGGTAGATGATAGGATAGAAGAAGGAGCACGAAGCGAGGACTTAAACTGTCTTTGGTCCGAAGAATAAGTAAATCCTGGTTGCTTAAGATTATTAAAATCATTACTATTATAAGTCGATGAAAAAATATCCTTGGTAAAGAGGCTATTTGCTGTCAATAAACTTGCTTTTGGAGAAATGGCAAAAAGACTAGTGCCTTCGGATTCCATTCTGTCAAACACAATTATCAATATATATACAAGATAAATGAAAGTCAAAAGTTAGTAAAGGGGTAAATATTCAAATATATAAGTTTTGACGCGAACATTAAGATTAATTTAGATATAGGCATTGATATGAATGTAAATTTAATGTAAAAATAGAGTATGAATTTAAACGTGACAAAAGGCAAAAAAACAAAATAATAATAATAACAACAATAAAAATTGTAAATTACAAATTGCGTGGTTTTTTTTCTTAAAATTTAACTTACTCTTATTACACGAAAAAAAATATCAGTGAAAGACGATATAGATGATGATGATTTTTTTGTATATATTAATTATCGTTTGTTGTTGAATTTAAATTTGTTTGGAAAATTTTTTATTTTGATGACTGCGCACAAATATCGTGACTGGTTGATTTGTATCACAATTTTTAATTTAATTTTTCACTTATTTCAGTAAACACAGTAAACATCATTTATATTATTTTTATAGGATCGAGATTTTTATTTAATAAAAACTTGATTGCTAAAAAATCGTCAAAATTTTAAATTGTAATATAAAATAATATATATATAATAATAAATATCTTTATAATGTATGCATGCATACATGCATTGTGTATATATGATTTTGTTTAGGTGTGAAGGAAGAAGTTTGATAAAGTATATATTACTACTTTGGTTGTTTGTAGAAAAAAGATTGTTATGATGACTCATTTATATATATTGTATGTATATAATTTAGTAAATGAACGAGCGAGTGTAGATTTAATTACCAAATTATCTTATTTCAAATAACTTTTATAAAGCTAATGCAATCAATAAAATAATTAATCATTCAATTTTGGAAATGCTTCATCATAAGCGCGTTTTTAGTATTGGGAGGATCCATAGTGTCTCTTTTAAGAAAAATTTATTTCTTTATCTGAACTAAAATTTCATCAGAACATAAAGCCGAACCTGCCTAAAACTTTATTTTATGGTATGAATATGTTACTGCCTTGTCTTCGCAATCTAGTAAATCAGTTTCCACCAGTCTTTCTTCAAATTCAGCAGCTGTACAATTGACTCAGCTACTCGTGAACATTGTTTATGAGAAGGGCCCTTTACAACCAATATAGATATTCATGACCGTAGTATATCACAATAAATGATACGTTCATTACAGTAAATGAATCTAATACCAAGTCTGAAGCTCGACAATACAATGCGTGTTTTTCTTTTGATGCAACATCTATCGTATTGAAAAAAAGATTTTAATTGGTCAATTATCTAGATTAAATTAAAAAATATTGCTTACCAACACATTTGGGAAATTTAATAAATCAAAGTATTGATTTTCAAGAATTTCTATAACATTGGCTGAAATTTGCAAATATCATCCAATCAAGGCAAATCAGAGGAAATAGTTTAGCTCGTAGTTACAATCTTCTGCATTCTTCAATAATAATTTCAATTGAGAGTCATTTACTCCTTTAGATGTTCGTCATCCCTATGATTTTGTACACAAAATAGCTATCTTTTTTAAATCAATTTACCTTTTCACATTATATCCAATCATCATCATCAGCTTCAGGTCAGGTTCTTGATAGAAATCACCTATATCCCTTCTTCCTGATTTGTAATAACGTAGACCTATTCTTCTTTCAGGACAAATTATTTTCATTTAAAATTGAGCAATCAGTCCAGATTCCATTCATTGTCCCACAGTAACCATATAATCCATTTGTACAGATAAGCCGAATTGCCAAATCCTATTATGATGATCTCCTACCGTATAACCATTCAAATTTACCGGGTCATAAATACCAGATTTGTTGATCTGTCGTCCTTGAACATTTACAAAAAAAAACAGATCCTAGCTCTGTTAATTGATCCATCATTATTTGTCAAAGAGTAACAGTGTATTTGGTGTTTGTCCTTGTCATAAAGGTTAAAAATTGATTACGTCAAATAGGCTAATGTAGATTTCTAGAAATATATCCAATCTTAAGTTTAGGAGCTGGTGGTGGTTGTGATAGATAAACGCAATCGCCAAGCCATAATGATGTACAAACATCATTGGCTGTTATTAAAATGAACTTGTTTTGATGATAATTCATATGGAAATGTGTAAAATGTAACTTCTCCTTATTTTGGTAAATGTTTAGAATAAACATATTTTACACAGTCAATAGGTGTGACCTTTATCTTTCGCAAAGCTCCCAAACCTCCATAACAGTGACCATAAATGCTTAAATCGAATAACTCTTGGAAGTCAACCTTCATATAGTAATTGTGAATTTCTTTTCAACATTTTATTTTTCTCCAAGAAATTTCAATACTTCATTTGAATCATAAAGTCCCAACCAAAAACATTTGAAAAGATGTCATTAATCCATTTTTATTTAGAACCATTATAAATATAGTCATTAACAAGATTCGAAATTATTCCCATGTAACCAATTCGTTGAATCAGTCAGTTGTTTAGAGATAGAATATAATCAGTTCTCTCCAAACACAAACAGCCATCAATGCTTGAGATAAAATGATCATAATAGCAGTATTTCCACGTCTTAAATTATTTGTAGTGGCATAGAGGCTTTTCAATTCGCCAATACGCATATGGTAACAAGCCAATTTCTTGAATGAAATACCAACATTCTTGTTAGCTCTGCATAAAGTTTGAAGGGTAAACATTGTATCATAGTATTGACCAGCTCTCCGGTAAATTTAAGAGAGGTTTCCAAATTGGTAGTGGTTCCATTCATTATGAATTTTTTTTGCGGCAGAAAATTTGGTTTTAGTGCAACAAAGAAATAAAAAGATCTTCAATAACGTGTAAATTTCAAAAAAAATTTAATAAAATGGGAATTCCTTCGCTATTACAAAATTTAAGGTCAATTGAATCCTTTACTTCCATCTCAAAGTATGCAGGAACCACTGTAGGGATTGACGCTTATAGTTGGCTTCATAAAGGTGCATCTACTTGTGTTGCGTCTTTAGTCAGAAATAAAGAAACAAAAAGGTTGAAGTATCATGTTTTTTTAATTTTATTTTATTTTTCCCCCATAATGAAAATCGTCTTTAGCAAGATACACACATTTTTTTACATTTAGGCACGTAGATTTTTGTTTAACGCGCGTTAAAATGCTGCAAAAGTTTAAGGTTCGACCATTGTTGGTTTTTGATGGTGGCTATTTGCCTGCTAAAGAATTCACAGAAAAAAAACGCGAAATGTTTGAATAATTTTACAGTTTTTATTTATTTTACGGTTAATAATATCATTTAAAAATAATCAGCAATTAATGTTTTATTTGAATTGAAAATTAGGTTAAGACTGGAATATCGTAAATTAGGCGAAGAATGTATTAAGAAAGGCAAGGTTTTAGAGGCTAAAGAATATTTTTTAAGAAGTTTTGATATTACTCCAGAAATAGCACATCAACTAATCTTGGTATATTTTTATTATTTAGTATTAAAATAAATTTCTGTATGTGTTAGTTTTTAAATTTTTAATATTATCTAAATATTTGAATTTAATCATTTATATTAGGCTTTACGAAATGCAAAAGTTGATTATGTGGTTGCTCCTTATGAGGCTGATGCACAGTTGGCATATCTAGAAAAAAAGAAGAAAATATCAGCTATTATTACAGAAGATTCTGATCTGCTTGTTTTTGGATGTAACAAAGTACGCATATAATTTTAAATTTATTAGAAAAATGTGTATTTTCTTTTTATATAGGTTCAGAGGTTTTTTTTTTACTATTTTGTTGAATTCAAAATAAAAATTTCTACAAAGATCTATAAAATTTCAGGTTATTTACAAGTTGGATCAATATGGAAATGGTGTAGAAATCTCTCGAGATAAATTTGGAGATGTTGAAGAACTTAATTTGCTTGGATGGACTGATAAACAATTTCGACAAATGGCAATGTTGGCTGGTTGTGATTATTTGCCTTCAATTGCTGGAATGGGTATCAAAAGTGCTTATAAATACTTAAGGATGTACAAATCTGTGGAAAAGGTCTGTCCGTGTGTGTGTGTGTGTGTGTGTGTGTGTGTGTGTGTGTGTGTGTGTGTGTGTGTGTGTGTGTGTGTGTGTGTGTGTGATATAAGATAATAGTTTTAATTATTAATAAAATTGATCATCTATTAATTAATTAATTAATTATTATTATTTACAGGTAATAGATTTCTTGAAACTTGATGGCAAATCAGAAATTCCACCCGATTATATAAATAATTTCAAACGGGCAGAAACTGCATTTTTATATCAACGTGTGTTTGACATCGATTCCCAATCCTTGGTTACATTGAATCCTATCCCAGATCACTTGAAAAATGAAGTTGATGCAAAGTTTATTGGACCGTATCTTTTTTTTATTTTACAAGGATATATATATTTATATTAATTTTTCAAATCAATAAATATCTTACATTACATTATTGTTTTAAAATTAGAGAGCTAAACGTTGAAGTGTCTATAGGTATTGCAAATGGGGAAATTAATCCAATCACAAAGGAATTGATTGATTCTACAAAGGTTATTTTTTATGAACCATCAATCAATTAATCAATCAATCAAATATACAATTTATCAATAAAAATTTTTTTTAAAAAATAAATTAAACATTATTAATAGCAAATCAATAATACAACAACTACAGACTTAATTGATAAAGTTGAAAGTGAAGAAGATAATATCAATAACAGCAATGCTAATATTATTACTACTATTACTAACAATGATCATAAGAAACCATTTGAGGCAGAATCTGATAATGTGAATACCAAAAAACATAAAAGAAATATTACAGATAAAAACATTGTCCCTAATAAAGAACACAAAAGGGTAATTAATTTTCAAGACTTACAACTATTACTGTTACTGTTATTTTTATTGTTAATTTATTGAAGTATGATCATAAAGAGTTTAGTTAACAAGTTTTATAATTTTATTTAATAAAAAGATGCCAATAGCAAGTCACAATAATCATCATAAGCGTCATGTTAAGCTTAGGTCTGACAATGACATGAATTTAATGTTGAATAGGTTTGATTCAAGGACTAAGAAAAGTTTTTCATGTTTACAGATAAATGTAATTTTACAAAGGAAAAATTGTTAAAATTATAATTCTCTATATTATAATAATAATATTTATTCTAATCATCAATATAGAATATTATAAATTTATCTAAAACATCAAGCTTGAATGAATGTTCACATTTAAATAATCGTTCAAGAAAGATTAAGTTGGATAGTGAAATGATTTTAACAAAGGTCTATTCAACAAATTCAGATGTGCAACAAACCAAGGAGCAAAAATGTTTATTATTATTTCAAGATAAACTAAAATCGCAAGATGGTAAAATTATTAACATTATTATTGTTGTTGTTATTGACATGTTTAAATTCCTAAATTAAAATTAAAATTTTCATTCTTCCTATATTTATTATGGAAAGAACATTTGAAACGAATAACGCAAGGATGGATTTCAAAATATTCTCGTAAAAATTTTTAATATTATTCATTTTTAAAAAATAAATGGTTATTATTATTAATTAAATATATAATAAATTATCGACTTTTACTCGAAGTGGTCGTTCCTTGGTGATTTTTTTGTACTTATCATTAATATTAAATCAATTCATCGGAATTAAAGAAGCTCGGCCAACAGATTTAATTCCGGTAACACCATGTGTTATTGATGAAGAGGTTAACACATTATTTTTTCATAATGAATTTGCTTTGATAAATAACAAAACTACTCTCCTGAAAAGAAAATCAAAACTATTATGTATTCTCTACAAATTAGTTGAATTTAAAATAAAAAAATTTTTTTTTTTGTCTTTCGAAATTGAATTCAAAATTAAAATCAACTAATACTAATACTAATACCAATACTGACACTGTTCAGAGCTTAGGCTAAAAACTACTTGGTAGTTCCTGGTATTCTAATTTTTGCATTTAAAATTCGTTATGCTAAAATTACTAAACACATTTCAATGAATTTTATGTTTTTTAAAAATTTATAGCGAATTTAATTATAATTCGTTGAAACTACTGTATAAAATTTCACTAAATATTTGTAGAAATTAAATCGATCTTTATTATTATTGAATTGAGCTAGAGTTCCTATTCGTAATACAAATTCTTATTCGAATTATTCGGAATACAACTCAGTAATAGTAACACCTGATGAATTAACGGTGAAAAAAAGCGAACGCTGTTAATTCGAATTATTCGTTTCGTTCCTTTTGTTTATTCGAATCATTTATTTTATTCGTTTATCCGAATCGACCCGGACCATTCGTTTTATTCGTTTTATTCTCTAAGTTGAGCATACTCAGGTTAAAACTTGAATTTTCAAGTTCGAGCCGAGTTCAAGAAAATAGGATCTTAAATTGTTTTTAGGCAATAAATAAAATAAAAGTATTAAAATTAATCATTTGTTACTTTTAAAAAAAAAATTATGCAGCGTCAGACTCGAGCCTGGCTTGAGCTCGGCTCGTTCGGAGATTTATGTGTGAATAACCTTTCCGCGGTTTTATTTCTAAACACTCAATTAATAGCCTTTCAGAGATTTTTTTTTTATTTATATTAGTAAACTTTTTTTTGTAAGGGTTCAAAGTTATCAATTTTATTATAAATAATGGAAATTTAGACATATGCGCTGATTTTGTTTGAACCCCAAAATCCAGTACGGTATGATCATAACATTATGAATACTTTATACTAGCAAAAACCCATTGGTTTTGAGGTGGGGCCATTGGTTTGACGGGTTGTTGAATAGTAAAATAGTTTTTTTTAGCGGAGCAAATTTTTTTTTTAGGGTTAATTATCATTCTACTGACCAGTTTACCCATTAAAAATACTCGTGTTTAACATCAAGACATAATAAGACATAAAGTTTGAAAAAGGGCCCAAAAAACCAAATCGGCTGATATGAAAGTCTCAGTAACCAAACGAGCTGTATGAATAATTTTTCCGCGATTGCATTTACAAACACTCAATTAATAAAGTTCAAACCGCATATATGAAATTTGTAACTCAGCCCCAACAAATTTACATATTGACATATATAAAATGATCTAATTTTGAAATCTTATAACTCTAAACTTTTCTAATAAAAAGAAAAACTAAACTGATGGAAACGATATTTATGCCTTTAGCTTTAATCCCATCAGTTGCTTTTTTCTTTTTCTTTTTTAATAAGCTTTTAAAGTCATGTGGTAAACATTGACCATTATAGATGTCCTGCACTATAAGAGCATTCCCAATTTTGAAATGTAACGTGTGACCAGTTCAGTTTCAAATTGGGGTTTAACCGCGGTTTGAAATGTGTATATTAATATAAATTAAACTGCATCGGTTCAGTTTTCAAACCACCGGACCATTGATTAGACATATCAATGGACGTAATGTTAATATGATTGTGCCATAAATTTGTACATAAAATAAAATTTATTTTTATTATCTAGAGTTTTGCATAAAGTGGTGTAGAAAGTTCCTTTACAGATAAACTACTTAAATCCTATTTTGCGCTGCAGGATGAATATTATTAGCAAAGGATTGATCAACATCAACTTGGGGACCAACTCTACACGATCAGAAAATTTTTTAATAAGCTAGTAATACTACTTTTAATGTATTTGCGAATACAAAATCGCAGATAAGAGTCACAAGTTTAA